ATGATGGGTAGGGGGTCAGGGATGACCCACAGGTGGAGTGTGGGGGCAGATGTGACTCGCAGGTGGGGTGGGAGGGCAGGCACGACTCATGAGGGTTGGGGGAGCAGGCATGACCTACAGGTAGGATGTTGGGAGCAGGTGTGACTTGTGGATGGAGCGAGCGGGAGGCAGGCATGACCTGTGGGTGAACTGAGGTGGAATGAGGTCCCCATCAGTGAACCTACACCCCCATTCCTTCTACCCCTCCTCCCTGCACTGGGACTTACTTACATGGCTCCAGCAGCAGTGAACACTGATAAAAGTGGCTGTATCTGGAACAGCTTCTGGGATGGGGTTGAGAGCGGTGGCTCTGAGGGGAACAAGGGGTTGGGGGTGCAAGAAACAGATCAGTGCAGGAGAAGGGGGGAGTGAAAAGAACAGCCCCAGGGCTGAGGTCAGTGGCTGGGTTTCCCCAGCCCCAGGGCTGTGCCGGGGAAGTGGACAGAAGTTCCATGCACTGGTTTGACTTACATTGAATGAGTCTGATAATACATAGATCCAGGTTTATCTTAAACTGGGTTCTGGAATTTTTAGACCAGTTTGTGTGCATGGAACTTCTGTTCAGTTACAGGCTTAGGCTGATTGCTGGTTACTGAGACCCGGTTTGTAAGTGTAAGGTGGACACTGGGATGAGCTAAGTTTAAATTGGGCATCCATTTTGAACCCAGTTTAACCTCCCAAATCTCTGTATGTGAGTCTAAATACAGCCTGAAACTTAGGCTTGGAGAAAGGTGAACTGCATCAAGCAGATACATCTTTGTTGCTAGGACATTTGGGAGGACCGTCATTCGGCTGCTCCTTAAAAGGAAGACCCTCCCCTTTGCACCTCTGCATCGCTATTTCCAGGGGGAAGTGAAGTGGATAGGCCACGCTTTTACCTTTGCTTTGAGGAGAGGGGCTCTGCCATGGCAGCTGGGGGTCAGGTGGAGCTACATGCTCCACCAGTTGACTGATTTTCACAAGACAGGAAAAAACAGTTTGATTCCTGTCTCTTTCTGAAAAGTTTAGCTCTAAAAAATGATTGTGCCCAGAAACTAGCAGTCTACCTATAGTGCTGGATGGCATTTATCTGCTTCTGATTGACAGTGGAATTAGCAGAACAATGACTACAGACTAGAGGGGCACACAAGAAGTCGTTCCCTCTTCTATCCTGATCCAAAGCCCAGTGAGTCAAATGGGAACATGACCATAAGCTGCCAGAGGGTGTTGGGTCAGGCCCTAATGTGCAGTATGGCATTATCATTTCTTACTGGGCAAATTCAGGATCTTGGGAGTCTGTTCCCTGCTAGGCTAATGCTACACCATTTATGTAATATTGTGCATTCATCTGAGGCACTCCAAAGAAAGCACAACAACTTGCATCAGCAGCTGTATGCTATGTGTTTTAATAAACGGTATAACTAGCAGAAAAATAGTTTTGGATGTGTTTGTCCACCCCACCTCCAAAAAAAAAAAAAGAAAGAAAGAAAGAAAAGAAAGAAAAAGATCAGATAAGAACTACAGAATAATTGGATCAAATGATCCCAAATGATATTCTTAGATAAATGAGTGGCACAGATAAAACCAAGTGAATGAATATTAAAAGGCCTATTGCAACAATCCATTTCTTAACACTGTTACCTGTGTCTGATAAATTGAATCCTTTGAAGACATGCTGGGGCTGTAAAAAAAATAATAAATAAAAGAAAGGAAAAGCAGTGCGTCAGGGGGTGTAATAAATAAAATAAGCTTATTGTTCCAGTCAGTGAAATAAGGACAATGCTCAATTCCTTTACAACATACCAGTTAAATTGCTTATCAGGTGGACAGCACAGTGAGATAATGTCAAGTGTTATCTCCATGCCTAGGCTGAGAGTCTGCGGTCTATGAATGAGCACTGGTGCCATGAGGTGGGAATTGGAGTGTTCTCATGCGCTGCTCTGGGTCCGAGTCCACACCTCGGAGGGGCACGATGCATTTCTGCCCTTTGTTGACTCCATGCTTTGCCATGAAATATTTTTGCAGGTTTCGTGTATTTAACTGCTGGACAGGTTCTTCCCAGGAGGGGGGAAGTGGCCTGAATGAGTTACGTGCCTCAGGAGAGAATCATCATCAAGTAGCAGCTGAATTGACATATTAATTTTACAATAGATCCCATGCTATGCCCGCTTCACGTTCAGTTTGCAGAGCTTGTTCGTGCGTGAAACTCAGCTATCACACACTGCTGGTTCCCAGGTATTTAAATTTTAAACCAAAATCAAGACAGGAAAATCAATCTGTTTTCCTCTCCTGCAGCAATCTACTGAATGTGAGATTAGACAATGCCATTCTTCACTGAGGCCTCCATCCCACCCTTTGGTCATTGAGCCCTCACATTCAAAAGAAAATATATGCTTCTTTCTAGGTTTGTATTGCTCTTTCTGAGAACCAGTACCTGTTCAGGCTTCCCTACAGTTCAGTGCAGTGCAGACTAGTGTGTTAATGAGCAAGCAAAGAACAAACCAGTGTAGTCACAAAGTTCTGGATTGCTCTGAAGGGTCTTCAGAAAAGGCCTATGTTTGCTGGCTTCTTGTAAACGCTGGGTTGCAAAAAAGAAAAGAAAAAAGAGAAGAAAAGGGTCAAAGACATGGAAGGATCAAGAAGCAGGCCTTGTACGTTGCAAAGAATGAAAAAGGACACAGTACACATAGGCCCATCTCCCCAGTAGCTAGCCCCAGGGCTCAGGTCCCCCTGGTTGTTTGGGAAGATGGCACAATCTGAGCCTCTGTGGGTTTCTGCACTAGAAGGAGCTGTACGGCTAGCTCTCACTTGTTTTTGAGGCTCATAAGTGATTATTTTTGGACAGGTAGGCGATCAGAGCCACGGCTACGCCCACGTATATGCCAGTCCCAATGGTGATTGACAGGACGGCCAGGAAGAGCGCTCGTCGGGAGCTGGAGCTGGCTTGATGGAAGTCTCCCTTGGCAACTGCTTTGTTTGTCTGCAAGAGAAACAACAACAAAAATGTATCTATTTTGCCCAAAATCTGAGCTGATGCACTTGATTTTAGCTGAAACACCCTCCTAGGAGATGTCATAAAGCAGTGACAGGTGAAAATTTGGGCAACTCAGCCACTGAGATATGATCACAGACTTGGGTCCATATGCTTAAATGACTCCAGTAGTTTGTTTAATCCTAAAAAAAATGTTTTAGACATTAATACTAATTCACAGGTCACAAGAAAGCACACCCTCCCCTTCTAGAGACAAGGCACATTTGATTTAATAAAAAAGCATCTAGTTTCTAAGATGCACGTGTCCCCACAGGCCTGCCCTACAGATTTAGGGATCCTGACCTGAGTGAATTTTAGGAGAAAACAAGGCAGAGCAGAAGGGCTGTTATGGATCCTACAACAGCCTGACACCCAACTGGTTACAGTCTACATAAGTATCAGAACCAGGCTCAGACCAAATCAAAGGTCTGCTGAAATCTGAAATGTCTCATTATTTTGTCATGGTTGAGCCCAACAGCTGGAATATCTTTATTGCTAACACATTTACTATAATGGACTGGAACAAGGAAGAGGGCTTATGTTACATTTGTCTCTCTTACTAGCGAGTGGCACTGTTGCAGAAGGCATAACTGCCCTGGTGGTAAAAGCTGGGCCATGCTGTTCAGTCAAATATTTATTTGGAGAACAATACAGATGAAGGTTGACCAATACTACTTGTACATTCAGGTTGAATGTATTGAACTGGTCTGGTCCAAAAAACCCAAAACAACAAAATCCTGGAAAAAATGGAAAAAGTTACTTTTTAAAATTTTGATTGTTTCATAATGAAACACTTCTTTTCTTTATAAAATTAATGTTTTGTTTTGAAATTTGCATAACTTCTTTGTCAGGGGCAAGGATTTCTTAGAGTAATATATTTTATTGGAGCAACTATGTAGTTGGGATATAGTTAGACAAGCTTTTGAATGAAGGACATTCTTCTTCAGGTCTCTGATCACAGGGAGCCAGGCACAGCATAGTGAAGAAAAGCAGAGAGCAGCTTGTCTCACTTTATAGCTAGCCCAATAAAAGCTACTATCATCCTTGCCTCTCACATAATTTCTGAACCATCACAGTTAAAATATTACTTCTATACTACCATAACTTTTATTTAATAAAAAAGCAAAATACTGCCCTTCAACTGAAACATTTTGTTTTTAGCTTGAATGAAACACTTTGTTCAGTTCAAAACTATATATATGCCTCTGTGTGTGTGTGTGTGTGTGTGTGTGTATACACACACACATAGTATTTTCTCACATACAATACACCCTGCATTATAATATGCCCCTTGCTTTTGAAAGACAAAATGAATTTAAAAAGATCTTTCCTTGTAATAAGTAGCTGAGTAACAGCAACCAGGGAGCTGAGTCTGCTCATTCTGCTACCTGTGAGTCTGACACAGATTTTACTCATCTCATCATATTTCTTGAATATAATGCACACTGCAATTTCCAGACGCTGGGTTTTGGAAAAAGAAGAGGACCACAAAATATGGTGTACATATACGTGTGTGTGTATCTGAAGTTCAGCTGTGAACCAAAATCTCTGTTATTCGCATACCTCAACCACACACACCCCAGGCTAGGACCAGGTCAGTAAACTTAGCCCTTAAACAGGACTCAGGTGGAACTGAGCCACAAAACTCCTAAGGCATCTAACCTGGCACCTAAATTTTAGACCTTCAAGGTCCCTAGGCAGCTACACTTAGGTGTCCATGCATGCTTGAAAGTGCTCCAGTCTGAACAGGTAGGTGCCTAGCTCTGATGTGATCTAGAATAGATGTTGGATGATGCATAAACTCTGCCACAGTCCCTGGAAAGGCTCACTCTACTAGTGTATTCAGAGCAGACTGAACACACACTGAGAGAACTGAGTTCAGTACAAATGCATCACCTGGGGTCACTCTCACTGAAAAACATGGCTGGAGAAGGCCACGGGGCTGGTATGCACCCCTTGTATAATAGCTGACTGATGTATCAGGAGACCTAGGTTCTAGTCTTCTTCAGCCTTAGGGATCTCAATCTCACATCTTGTCATCTACCAGGAGAGCCACCAAACTACAGAATAGGCTTGGTGGTATCAACATTCCTCCTCTTACCGTTGAAACTGGGCCCAGGGGCAACCCAGGGTTTATGTATACCATTACAATAGTTGGACCTGGGAAGCATGGAGGTGAATATGACCTATCCATCTGAGTTCACTGACACACTCCAGAACCAGACATTTCCTGATCTGAGCTTATCCCCAACAGCCAGTCTCAGGCCCACTGGAAACCAAGAGTTCAAGGCTGAGTGCTGGGGATGAGTCTGAAGCATATCCATTAATTTCCACAGGTGAACTGTGCTTGTGAGATTGGGTGGGGCAGGCATTCCTGGCCCTATGTTCCTCAGGATGTGCTGGTGCCCTGGCATAGACAAGCCCCAAGAGTCACAGGGCCAAAAGGCGTATGCAGGAGAGAGCCTGACTGTAGTTTAGTGGAAGGGGTGAGGAGACCTGGCTTAGTCCCCCTTCTCAGGATGTCTATGCATTTACATTAGACAGTATAACACAGAGCCAGAGGCTCTTGTTTCTGTAAGGGATGCTGCTGCAGGTGGAGCTTGCTGGGTGACCCTGCAAGCTGAACAGGGGTCAGTTGTGATGAATTAAGCAGGCAGTATCAGCCAGAAGAGGAGCTACTCTTGGAGGAACAATGATCCCAGAAGCCAGCTGCAAGCAGTAAGTTCCCCAGGGCAAGGTTCTACAAGCAGCTCAGTTAAGCTACAACAGAGAAGGGCAGGCTAGCCATCAGGCTTAAATGGAAACCCCTGTGGGTGGTTGGAGAACCACCTGACAGGAAGAGGTGGGGCTTTATGGGCACAAATAACCAGTGCCTGAGAACTGATAGTCAGTTGGGCTCTGTAGGTGGCAGTGAGAAAAATCTCATAGGCAAGATGGCTGACGGAAAGGGAGTAATGGGTGCTGCAAGTAAAGGAGTTCTAGTTTGCAGGGAAGCGTGACCCAGTGTAGGGAGATTTTTGTTAGCTAAAGAGTAGGTTTGTGTTTGTGTTCTTGCTCATATTAGTGGACCACAGGTAGTTACAAGGGGAGGAGGAGAAAGTCATACAGGCTGCCTATAGACGTGCTTGTTTGCATTCTAATTAGAATGCATCAGAGCAGACTTGATTCATCGGCTTATCATCACATGTATTAAGCCCCCCCGCATTTCAAAATGGTCACATTGGTGTCTTAACTAAACCTTGTCAATTAAGTTTTAGTTAAAATGTCCCTGTGGCCATTTTGAAATGGGGGGGGGTGGACTTAATACATGTGACTGTGAACCATTTTAATTAGAGTGGCTGCTCTAATTAAAATGCCTCCCCTCCCCCCACCTCCAAACACATTTATAGGCAGCCATAGTGCCAGCAAGGCACATAGTGTTTTGAGCCCTGCCAGGGAATGGGCTTACAACATGGGCAGGGAGATGCCAAAAGGGCCAAAGCTTGGTGGCAGAGGCAGCTTGAAGCTGGGAGGGCTACGGGTCAGAGCCTGAGTGAGGGGAACCAGGTCTAGAGGCTCACAGCCTAAGAGGGTAGAATCTGGTGCAGCAGCTCACAGGCCAAGAAGGGTGAGCTAAAGAAAGCTTGCAGCCAGGAGGGCTAAGGGCAGAGCCTAATAAGGGTGAGACCAGGGCTGGGGCTCAAATCCCCAGATGGGCAAAGCCCAAGAGGGGTGAAGGCAGAGCCCATGAGGGGCAAAACAAGGGCTGGAGCCTGGAAGTCAAGTGTGGCACAGTAGGCCTGGGCTAAAGGGCCCTGCTAGAGGAGAGGGCTGGAGTCTGGGAATGTTGAGGCCTTAACAAGGGCATGGAGGCCTGAGGAGACTTGATATTGTCTTGGGGGCAAGGTATCCACTAGAATGATTGAATGATAACACCTGTGAGGCATGGCCATGGCTACAGGGGAGGTTGGAGGCCACAGACAGTCTTTAAGGCAACAGGTGCCTTGGGAGCCATGGACGGGCCAGGAGGGCCCATCTAGTGTTTGAGGGCAGGATGGGGATCAGCAAGGTTTGAGAGGAACCCACTGATGACTAATAGACAAAAGCTCACTCTAGGACAGCCTCCCTTTCTCTCAATAAAATACCAGCAAGGTGTGGCAGGCGAAGGGGCAAAAGAGGGAGGGTACCCAGAGAGCCAGAGCAGGGCAGGAGTTACAAGGCCACCGGGGGGTTTCAGTTTCATAATTTCATAGTAGCTAGGGTCAGGAGGGACCTGAACAGATCATCTAGTCTGACCCCCTGCCACAGGCAGGAATGAATGCTGGGTTTACAAGACCCCAGACAAGTGATCATCCAACCTCCTCTTGAATTTGCCCAAGGTAGGGGCGAGGACCACTTCCCTGGGAAGTTGGTTCCAGATTTTGGCCACCCT